TTATTTCAATATTAAAAAATTCCCGCCTCCTCCAGTAAAAATTTCCGGGCTAAGAACCTCCTTGAATCAAAATAATTGATACAAATAATTTTTTAAAATATATACATATAATAATTAACGATTTTCCACTTGCAAATGGGAATTTTCCTTTTCGTATGAGAAACGTTTCCTTTTTCGCTTTAAATTTTATTTTCCTATTTGTCTTTTTCCTATTTCATTAGGACCTTTTCTTATTGATCGGACTTTGCTTTTTGATTGGGAAATTCTGTATTTGTAAGTTGTTTTAACCTGCTATCACATATTGAGATAATCAATTTTTTATTCATTGATTTCTAATTTCATCACAAATTTTCATGTTCTTGTAAACACCACCCCCCCACGCCTAAATAATGAGAAGACTCCTTGCAATTATTTATAAATATACATCTATAAAAATAAAAATGCATAGGAAAAACAAAACCTTCTTTTTATCAATTAAAATATTTTTAAAAAATTGGAATTATCATAACACGAGGTACTAACGAAATTATATTAATTTATTTATTTATAATATCATAATACGTAATAAATATATGTAGCTTGAATTGAAAAGCAGCATTCTTATCTTATCTTATCTTATTAAATTATTTTTATATATAACAAATATTTTTCTGCCAATCATAGGTAATAAAATTAAGAATATTAAAATTCGATAAATAAATAGAAAATGATAGACATTTTTTTAAAATATTTTTTTTATTACTTTTGATTTTTATTTATATTGGTATTGTAATTGCGTTCGTATTATATTAACAGGCGCGTACGCAGGAATTTGGTCTGGGGGGCGGGGGGGGGGGGATAATAAATTTTTAAAGAAATATTATTGCTTTTAAAAATATCAAGCATAAATTTATTAGGACTAATAACTATTCCTAATACACAATTTTAAATTAATGTGAATTATAAAAAAATTATATGTAAAGAATCACTTAAATAACCCAAAATAGAAATTTGAATTTTTTGAGCCTTTATACAAAAAGTTTCTTAATTGTATTTTGTATAATATATCTTTACAATGTAAAATCCAATCTTCGTTGGGATTGAGCTAATTTTTCAATTATCTCAACCTTGCTTGTCGTCAAAAGCCTATGAATATTCAAAAGATCCAAACCTTTCAATCTACTTTAAGATGTTGTACTTCTTGGTATGTTTTTCAGAGACCTGCAGGCCCGGCCCCTGGGCTGGACAGTATTTTAATTTTTTTAAATATACCCGGGCCGGCAGAAATTTTTTAAAAAACGGGCCGGGCCTGAATTTTTTAAAAAAAACACCCAAGCCTGGCCTGAATTATTTTTTAAAAAAACACGCCAGGCTATTTTTAAAAACAGCCTATATTTGAAATCGTTATTATTAGCTATAAAAATCAAAAATAAATATAATTTATTTTTAAAAAATCGGGCCGGGCCTGAAAATTTTATTTTAAAAAAAGCCGGGCCGGGCCTGAAAATTTTTTAAAAAAAACCCAGGCCGGGCCGTAAAAAATCTTTAAAATCCGGGCCGTGCCCTGCAAATGGTACTTCTGCAGGCCTCTGTTATTCTTCTTAAAAAAGAGAATGTTCTCTCATTAGTTTACTAATGGGAAGAGTTTATAAACCCTTTTAATACATTGGGAATTTAATCTAAAATGTGTTTGAAATAATGCAGAGCATCCATAGCATTTATAGTTAATCTTATAAACATAGTTCTAGTAAGGCATCATAAAATACTTTAACATCTTCATAATAAAAATCTAACAAGTATTTTTTTTTCTATCACCATCTGAAAAAGGTTGGGAAGTCTTTTGTGGAAGTAATATTTGCAGATTAGTAAGGGCTGCATGATGAATTAAAAATTCATTAATTTGGGTTATAAATGTATCTGTATCTACGATATACTCTTCTACTGATCCTATATTAATGTTTTAACTATGAGCTTGCCTTGCTACAAGTCGAGGGAGGCGAATATTAAACACGTATAGCTCTGCTTTTGACTCAATAATAAAATATAAAATATGAAATTCTTCTCAACATTAGCCCTAATTTCCTTGAGTTCTGATAAAATGGTCTCCGCTATTCTCATCTTCTTAATCAATATCATGTTTTTGAAAAGTAATACTTAAAGTAGTTGTATAATTAAATAATACATTCTAATGAGAAATAAAATTTGGAATAAGCATTGAATCCAATAATTTTCTTGCTTCTGAGGAAATATTTCTTTCAGCGCATTGTGATATTTCAGTAATAGCAAATAATTGGCTCTTCTAACTCCTTAAAATCTGTTACTGCTTGATGGCAGATACTCTATCTGGTTGGACAAGGTTGCAATTTCTTTTTCCCTGTTGGACCAGAAGTTTCAGAAATAATTATTATTTGACTAGAAATTTGAAAATGGTAGATAAATATTACGCCACTAAAAATGGGAAAAATATAAAGTAAATATTACGCCGGAAAACTTGAAATAAAAATTAATTGATAAAATAACTTATGAATGTGATAATAAATGTAATTAAATATATATTTAATATGAGATACGAATAAATATTAACAAATATAAATTAATATAAACAATAATATTTTTGAAAAATATATCCGGCATCTGCATTTTTTGGCTTTGGGGGGGGGGGGGGGGAATTTGTCCCTCTGCCCCTCCCCCGCTGCGTACGCCAATGTATATTAACATTAAATATTGTTCTGGAATAGATTCTGCTCTTTAGGGAACAATAAGATTTCCGGAAAAGAAGACTTCCCATGTAAACTAAAGTATCCAACATTTGAAAAAATCGGGCTACTTTTGAAATTTAGAGAAGCCTGATTATTAGAGATTAATTAATAAAGTTTTTGGATTTTTACCTTAGATTTAATCAAAAATTTATTATAATTTTCTGATTTTTGATGTAATAGTTAGTAAGTGTCAAGATATACACTTTGGCATGATAATAGATACAAAAGTAAGTTCACTAATAATTACTTTAGGCCATCATTTTCTTTAAGGATGCCCAAATTCAAATATAATCTTATCGTAACTACAAAAATTTCCGACGAAGGGTAAAATATTTATTAAATGTAGAGTAAAATCAATTATTTGTGTTCGTTGTGCTAATAATGATAATTGGGAGTGAAGCGCTAAAAATAATCTTACCCTAAACCCAAGTGCGCATCGAATTTGTTTAAATCTCATTAAGTTAGAAAAACTAAATTTAGTGTAAAGGTAACGCCCAGTAACGGAGGGTGAAACTCCCCAGCCGTTTTTGAATGTTATGGCCAATCGTATAAAAATTATTAAAACAAACTATTATAAAATTGTCTGGCCTTTTTATAGGATTTTGGAAAAAGAAAGAAGGACCTACATAAAGGGAGTTAAGTAAGACAATAAATAAATTGATGGCCACGTGTAGAAGCGTCGCTGTATTTTATTTATTTCTAAACTTTAATAAATAATACTTTATATTCTTATATAGCAAATGCACTAAATTATAAATTAAATCCCTATTAAAAAAATTATTATTATATTATTAATTTTTTTTTTATAAAAGATAAATATATTTATATTAATTTTTTTTTCGGAAGAAGTTTAAAAAAAATAAAATAAAATCAGAAAAAAAAAATAATTAAATTAAAATTAAATAATAATTTGTGTTTTTTTTGTTCACCTAAATTGAAATTTAATTATATTAGGCACGAAATCATAATATTATAAATTAATTTCCGATTTTATTATTAATATATATTAAATTAAAACCCTAAGCCAGGGCCAAGAAAATCTAGAAAAAGATCTCTAAGTTAATTAAGAGTAAAAAGAACAAATTTACATATTTCTTTGTTAATTTAATTATATTTGTTAATTGGAAAATAATTAATTGATTCTAATAGTATATCAATCCATATATTAATTAAAAAATTTAATTCCGAGCAATTAAATCGCATTCAAACCTAGAAGCCACCCACCTTCCATTTAGTAGCGTATATATATTATAAATGCACGCACATACACCTTCTGACAAGCGGAAAAGTTTAAATTGAAAATAAGGAATTGATCATTAATTAATTAATAATGACATCATGAATAATAGTAATAATAATCTGGACAATAATAATCATATCAAAGATTGTCAATTAAAAAATATCGATAATACAAAATTATTTTTACCTGTAGTCGCCGAAAATAGTATTACTAATTGTGATTCTTATATAAATTCAAGTAAAATAATTTTTATAAATTAACTATATATTTTTAAAAATTTTTTTATTTATTTTAAATTATACTTCTCAAAATGAATGGGCAATAACTTTTTTTTTCTTGAAATATATTTTTGATTATTAAATTGAATTAACTTCTTTTTTTTATTAAATTAAAATTTAATTTAATTTGTGAATTTTTTAATTTAATTTTAAATAAAATTATTTTATTCAAATTTTAATTTTTTTTTTTTTAATTTTTTTTAAAAATATGTTGTTTTTGTTTAAATTAAAAGGGATTTTAAAAAAACATATTGCAAATTATTGCAAATTTTTTCTTAAAAAGAATAAAAATTATTATTTTATTGAATTATAAATTAAATCTTTAAAAGAATATATTTATTATTTTTGAAAAAGTTTATTAAAATTATTAATTGGTTATAATTGAGAATAGAATCCTGACTAGGATTCTTTTTAGAATATAATTATTTTTATGTTCTATCGAAGAAAAATTTTAATAAGTTAATTTTATCATTTAAATATATATTATTATAAATATATAACAAGTTGTAATAATTTATTATATTTATATATGTATATAAAATAATTTTTGATCAAATTAAGAACTAATCTAAAAACTTATATAAATATATAATAAATTTTCTTTTATGTTTTTTACATAAACAATAGGATAAAAATATATAATAAATAATATTCACTTTATTATATAAATTAAATTAGCGACATTTTGTTTCTTCTTTTAAAAGCAGCCTCAAAATCATTGAAAGCATATTTTAAAATAATTACCAAAATTTAAATGGCGTAATAGAATCCTGTCACAAATTAAGTTAGAAAATAATAAATAAAAGCAAAATTCTAAAAATGAATATTCATTAGTATAACAACAATGTATGTATATTGAATTAAATCATATAAAGTATATGTTTTAAAAAAGATAAATATCCAATGAATATCATCAATTTAAAAAAAATTATATATATTGATAAAAAAAAAATTTGGCAGGAGAGAAGAGGACAGATGATCAAGAATTGTACTGATATATATACTTGCTAATTGATATTCTAATGTTATATGTATTTATTTAATCAGACCTTTCTAGACCTTCCAAGGACGTGGGCCAGGCGCGGACGCATGAATTCGCTATGGGGGTGGGAGGGGGGGTAAAAAATTTTAAAATTAATTTAGAATTTATTTAAGAATACCTTAAGTTTCAGAAATTTAAAGACTAGTGACTATAAAATATCAAATATTAAATATATATAATTGCCTGATTAATCACTATAAAATAGATGTCTCAAAAAATAATTTTGTAAACAGGGGCGGACTGGCCATTAGATCCGTTGGGAATTTTGGCCGCGAGAAAATGCCGATTTTTGAGACCGATCATGATATCTCTATGATTTGAATATCACATTCCTTGAGACATTGCCATGTTCTTTTCTTTGTTTTTTTTCTTCAAATGAAGTGAAAACGTTTCCGTTTGAGTAGAGTGAAAACTAAGTTTTGATTAATTTATTATATTATATTTTTATTCATTGATTTATTGTATAGAAATAATATAGCTACATTTCTTGTTCTTAATTCATTGAAATCAAATAAAATCCAGGTCGGTGAATCAGATAAAAGGATGGATGCTTGGGTGAAACAAAATAATTCATCAGAAGGCTGCAAAAAATAGGTGAGATAATGTGGTGGGCAAATTAAAAAGCCCTTATATGGATATATGGTAAAAAGAGCTTGCTCTCTATAACGATAAAGGCACTTGTATTTAAATAGATAATAAATAATTTGAGATAAAAACTTGATAATTTATGTAAATTTAAGACTCTAAGTACAGCTATAATATATTTGGAAATTTTTAAAATAATGGGGCCACTGTCATATCTTCAAACCAAATAATTAGGTACTTTGTCAGCATGGAAAATGAAAGAAGATGCTAAATCTTCTGTATCATCCGATTCAAAATAAAGCAATCAAATATATCCACATTTAAATGAAACATTTTCATATTTATAGCTTCCGGAGAGTATCTGAGTATAAAATGCTCTGTAAAAAGATCGAATAGGACGAGCGAAGAGAATATAGAGTGACAAATGCTAAGATGAACATCCTCAAGAATCGATTGATCTTTATAGGTTCGAACTATTTCGTCCTGTAGGTGATCAAATTATAAACAACTTGTCGGAACTACTTTCTGCGAATTGAGAGCTTATCTTGAATGTGCAATATTTGCATCCAAGACATTTTGATGAAATAAATAGTAAAGGTATTTTTGAAAAGGCCTTGGAAAAACTGGCACAATTGACATGTATAATGAGTGTTAAATTTCATAACGAATTATGTTCATTTGCCAGTGTATTCAAAGATTTGGTAGCAGAATTAAATGAAACGGACGATGATATCGCATGTACAAGTGAGGAGTCAAATGAAGAAGATGGAATATTAATGATAATAAATCAGAGTGCGTTAATAAATGTAACAAGTGTTTAATATGCGTGTATGAAATTCTAAAAAGATACAATATGCATACAAGTGACACTAATTTATTTTTGGCATATGAATACATTTTAACTTTATCATTTAAGCAAGTTAATTGCGAGAAAGCATTTAGTAAGTTAAAAATTATAAAGCTGAGAGCTAATATTGACCAAGAAAAATTAGAAGCGTTTTTAATGATGTCATTTGAACGAGAACTATTAGCGTAGATTAAACTAGAAGATATTCCTGTATATTTGCGCAAAGGTTCAAAGTTAATGAGAGATTTATTAACGTAAAAATTATATATTTTCTTAATTCTTTTATTAGAATCTTATTAATATTATTTACAATGGTGCCTGATTTTATAAAAGTGCAGCAATTTTAATCTCTGTAATATTGTGTAACTGCAATAGTTTTATATTTATAATTAATTGTTTTAATATATTGAGTATGCATTTTTTTTATATTTAACATGTGATGTATGATTTGATAGTGCAATATCGTTGTAAATCTAATATAGAATGTATATTTTCAATGAATATTATTTTATATAGGTAATGAATATGATTTTAGATGTGCATTTTTTTAAAATAAAATATATGATCATCGTATAATACTATTCTTTTTTTTTACTAAAAATATAAAACGTTTGAACTTATTTTCAAAAAATAAGAAGTAATAAAAATCATGTAAATCAAAGAAGCCATTTAAGAGAACCCGGTCGAAGACCGGGCAAAAGCGGACCGAAGTCCCGCAAAATGGGGGTATGGGGGCGAAGCCCCCATATAAAGAGGCCGCTATAAAAAATGCCCACGAGGCCTAGCGTCGCCAGTCCGCCCCTGTTTGTAAACAAAATATAAATTTTTTAAGTGTTTAAAATTTGATATATATAAATAATTATAGAAAAAATATAGAAATATAAATTACTGCATAAAAATATTCTTAAGATTATTGCATTTATAAGGACTTACAAATTATATTCATGAAAAAAAATTATGGTTGTAATTAAGAAACATATGATAAATTTATAATGGAAATAAATTCAATCTTCTTTTGATTTCATAAGTGCTAGGTGTCAACCAATTCCATATGTATTAAGAAGGTGTCGATAGCCTCAATTTGAGCCTATTTTAAAAAACGGCTAGCTTAATATTCTATCTAGAAATATATTACGCAATGAAGATTTAACTCATAGATAGCACAAAGGTTTGTAACATCTATTAGATTTCGAGACTTAGGCAATATTTTTCTAGCTAAAATGTTGATTTAGCCGCTTATAAAAGTCATCTTAAATCGAATCCTTTAACAACACTACTTCTCAGGCCTGTTTTTATTCTTGTTATATAATTAATTATTCATAGAAGGATATACTAATGGGTTGAAGGGCCAAAATATTAAATTTAATATATTAGGAAAATAGTCTAAAATTTATTTGAAATTATGCGAAGCATCTATAGCATTTTTTGGAACATTATCAACCATATTTAACCTTTTATGCCATAGTTTGCTTTCAAGTTAGTAATGCATCATGGGTTAAATAAATGGGCGCCCTGTTAACTTTTTCCAAAAATGGACGGGTTAGCGTTCTCGTTAAAACTCGCCCATTGCAGATCTAGATAAAAACCCTTATGGTAGCACTTATTTTAATTTTGGTTTTTCATTTTTTTTTATTTTCAATTACTTTTCTTTCAAATTATTACCTATAGTGATTTATTGTATAAAATTTTTGGAAAAAGGAGGTGGAAGTTTGTAGTAGGAATTCTTTTGTTCGGTAAAAATAATATTTACGACAATAGGAGCTAATTTTGGAAAAGACCCCCTTCCCACCAGCTATCATTTTGCCACAATATATTTTTTACATAATATGATTGAGTAAAATTTAAAGTTACAAAGGCCAGAGACAATGAAAGGGGAAATAATTGGTAATGGTTTTGTTAGATGTATAAATACAAATAGAATAAAATGTTTTGATTTTTGATTCTGTTTTTATCCGGGAGAAATTTATAGGATTGATAACATTTCTTAATACATGACTCTCAATTTTTCCATGAATTTATATTGATAACTATATATATAATTACTTTTAATTTTTTTATTTATAATACATTGAACGTTAAAAGTAAAACATATATACGTAATTTAAAAATATCATGTAAACTATTTGTAAATTAAAATCTAATTTTGTTCAGAACTAAATAATTTTTTAAAATTTAAATTATCCGTTTAGATAATGTTTTCAATGCTAAAATATATATTTACCCAGAACCTTCATTGGGTCTAGCTGAGTTACTGATGCTTTTAATCATATTTAAAAGACAGTATTAAAATAGAATGTAGGACAAAATAGAATGTAGGACGGAAAACAAATCAATATATAGGTAACATAGCTAGTTTACACGACATCCTTCCAATGGTGTACGCAGCGGGGGGGGGGAGGGGGGTCAGCAAATCCCCCACCCCCAAAGCCACAAAATCTAGACACCAGCTAAAATATTTTTCAAAAATATTACTGGTTACTACATCATATTGTGTATATATATATATTCCAATTTAAAATTAATCACATTTACTGCAGAAATAAATATACTCCTGATTTATTCTATGAATTAAAATCGATTTCAAACTCTCCTTGGCGTTATATTTATCTACCAATTTAAAATTTTTCTAATCGAAACTTTTCTACTGCAAAACTTAAGTAAAATATTTTAAAAAAATGACATCAATATGATTGAGACTATGAGAATAGCTATAAGCATTATATTGGAACTTAAGGAGTGTACCGATATTAAAATAACCTGTTTATAAATATGTACTGTACATCTTAGAATTAGCACTATAGGCAGCTAATTTTTTATGCATAAAATCTTGGAATATCGATATAAAACTAAAACTAGATATAAAATAAAATTTTATAAGGAGGCGTCAGAATTAGCAGATCAAAAATTTGTTCTGGATCGGATCGGAAAAAAATTGTTAAAAACCGATCCACAAAATAGGCACATTTCATTTGTCGATGCTGACTTTTCATTAAAATATTTTTATTTGATAAATTAAAAGTTTTGTTAACATTCCAAGATGGTCATGCATTAAAAATTTACTGCTTGTCATATGGCAATTCTGAGATATACACATTTATAACCATGTCATTTTAATATCGGCAAAAATATCCGCACAGCCCTAGCGAAATTCATAAATTATTACATTGTTGAGTCAAAAGCTGAGCTCATTTATTTATATACCACAACTCGCAGCAAGACAAGCCTATTGTTCCAATATTAATATAGAGTCAACAGATGAATACCATTGAATACATCTCTTTATCCCCCTCTTGGCTATTTTTATAACTAAAATGAATGAAAAGTTCTTAATTAATCAGGCAGCACTCACAAATCTGCAAATATTTTTACCACAGAATCCTTCCAAATCTATTTCAAATCTTGATAAAGTTAAATTAAATATTTGGCCGATTTTTATTGTAAGAATGTTAAAATATCCCATTAGCACAAAGTATTTTATGAAAGGTTAATATGGTTGATAATTTTCTAAAAATGCTATACAATGGTGGAGCCAGTATTTATCCATGAAAAGTATTAAGCTTAGAGTGGAAAATCCTATGAGGCTGGGAAATAGGGATTTCAGGATTTCTATCTGCAGTATTTGTCGAGGGACCCAAACTCTATTTCCTTCGGCCTTCAGCCGGGTCTAAAATATTATATATTAATTTTTTGGTAGTTATCTTTATATCATCTTTCTTAAAGTTGGCTGAACAATTGGAAATACTAATTCTTAAATTTGCCAATATTTTGTGCTTTATTATAGTTTCTAACAGCTTAAGCCCACATAAATGGAAAAATATTAATAACAAAATTTTGGCTAAATTTATGATTAATAGACGACTGAAAGCATTATTGTGAAAATTTTATCAATGTTTAGTGTTCAACTGTAAATTGATTCCTTCCATTAGGTGTAGAAAGAAAAAAATTAGCTCCCCAAACCTCCCATTTTTTATGATCACTCAATATATCTAATTCTATGTTAAAAATAATTATTTAAATTAAATTTTTTCATATAACAAAATTTTACAGAGAATTTCATTGTAGATTTTATTTATTATTAAAAACTTTAGTATAAATAACATCCCTTTATTAACTATTATTTCTTCTAATGCTAATATTAATACAAATGATTATATTATCAAAATATAAATAACTCTTATTGCAAATGCAATTATTATATAAAAATATATAAATATTATGACTAAAAATTTATTAAAATTAAGTTTTGCATATAAAAATTTTATGACTAAGAACATATCATAATCATATTGCAATTTTATGATTTGAATTTATAAAAGAGGTCTATTTTTCTCTGAGATTTGGCTTATTATCTAGAATCAATTTTATCTAGAATAAGCTCATTATAAATATTTAATAGGGCTAATCCATTTAAACGGTTTTCACCGGTGCTATTTCTTAAATAGGTTTTTAACCTCTTCAAAGTTGAAAAAGACCTTTCATTAGTCAGATACTAATCGGTAAGGTAGCTAAAATAAAAAAACAATGTTTTGTTATTAGGCAGGAAATCTAAAATGCAATTACACATGTCTGCAAAGCATTTTTTGGTCTCAAAGGGTACTTTATTCTGTTAAGATTTTTACGTCAAAATTCGACATTACAAAGTAACTTTTCATACGATCCTAATATATCATCAGAGTAAAACTCTGAGATTTTCTTTATATCCTTTAGCGTTTCAAGTGTAATCAACAATTCAGACTCAACCGGCAAAAGAAAATAAAAGCTTGCTGTTTATCTTTACCAAATTAAACAATTTTTCTTTTAATTAAAAATTATAAAAAATTAATTAAAATTTTTAAAACTATCTAATTTGTTTTAACAATATAAATTATATTATTAAATTTATAATTGTTTTTCAAAAAATAACTTTCGAGATATGCAGATCATATTTTTTATCCGTTGTCGGCTCTACTATGCCAGAAAACAATATATATTTATATCCCCCCTCCCTCCCCGTTATTTAATATATTAGTTCATATAATTTTTAATTTAAACCATGTGATCATTTAAAATTGAAAATTATTATTTGTTTTTTTAAATATATTTCATTTTAATATCGTACATATTATTTTATTTCTGTTCATAAATTATTCGCAATAAAAAACAATTTTTTAAATTTTTTTTCGGAGGTTATAAGGGGTACCAAACAACTTTAAGACTAAATATATAAAATTTATTATATATTTTTCTACCAATGAAAGAACATTTCCTTCTTTAACAATAAATACCTGCCCGAGAAGTGGTGTTGTTAAATGGCTCGATTTGAACCTATTTTTAAAAACAATATTGTCTAAGCCTTGATATTTTGTTAATAGATGTCCAAATCTTTGTGCCATCTATAAGCAAAATCTTCAGGTTTGCGTAATATTTTTCTGGTTAATATATTAAGTTAACCGCTTTAAAAAAATTGGCTCTAATTGAGCCATTTATCAGCCTTACTAAGAAGTACTACCTCTGAAAATAGTTTGGATGGTGTTAGCCTTTTTTAATATACATGGGGAGTTAACACCAAGCACTGATGAAATCATTGAAAAATTAACTCAATCCCAAGAATATTGAATTTTACATTATAAATTTATAATATGCTTCCTAATTAAATTTTTTTACCAATTTTCGATACATCATATTCTTTTTCATGATAAATATTTTGGATTTATACTAATGCAATAATTCCTTTTTATGCATTAATCTATATTTCCAATATTTTTTTAAAATATAATTTAAATTTATAGATCAAGTTTTAAATGCTTAAAAAGTTTATACTTTTTTACAGAGTTCTTTTTCGAGACATTTAATTTATAATGATTCATCCGATTATATACATTTAATATATAAAAATTAATTTATATTTGAATTTGTGTATAAATTGTCAATATTTTAGCATCACTAGTAGAGTTGTTAACTGGCTCAATTTGTGCCGATTTTTAAAAACGGTTAAGATTTTGCCAGAAAAATATTGCCTAAGCATTGAGATTTCGCTAATAGATGTTCAACCTTTGTGCCATCCGTAAGCAAAATCTTTAGGCATGCGTTGAATTTTTTTTAAAAATCGGCTCAAATCTAGCCGTTAAACAACACTAGTCACTAGTCTTAATAAATTTGTAATACTTAAGATATTCATAAATAAGTCTTAGAATAAATTTTATGAATAAATTTAATTACACCCCCCCCCACCACACACACACACAACAATTCTTGCGTACGCGCCTGCACCTTCATAAAAAGAATGTTTTTAAAATGGAAAATTCTGAGGGCATAACTTTGCCAGAATAACAGATTTCAGTATGACAAATGTAAATATTATTTTAATTTTTATTCTGTATATGGAATATAGAAAGGTCCTAACAATATTATATTTAAGAGGTAGATATTTTGATTTTACAATAATCTTTAATTGAATCTAATCATAGGTGTCAACGGGGGGGAGGCAAGGGAAAATTCATCTCCTCAAATATTTGCCCTCGTAAATAACTTTTTAAGCTATTAAAAATTTTCTCCTTATATACCAACCCCTTCCCCACCCCTCTCTCTCCAAAAATTTCAAAAAATACATCACTATAAACAAGAATCTGAAAGAAAAATTAGTTAAAATTAATTCTTTTTTAAAATGATGACTCTAAATTCAAAATTTTTAGAAAAAACATTTATATATAAAGTTAAGGAAAAATATAACAACTTTGTTCATAAAGAGACTTCGATTTTATTTTATAAAATATTATTTTGTGTAGTAGATAAAATTTGTAGTCTTCGATAAATTATAAAATAAGAGTTCATTTATAACCCAATTGGCTTTTGAGCTTAAGCTAATATTTTCGCCCCTTTATATCATCCCCTATTAATAATCATTATCACATACTCAAAAATACATTGTTTATATTTATTCATTAGGAAACACACCATTATCTGAATCCACTCACAACTACACATCTGATAATCGTTATTATTATGAATCAAATATTAAAGGAGACAAATATAAAATTCCTCATGGAGCTTCAACATTTAACTATAACAACAGTAATAAAATAAACAATAATTACAGCGGAAATCATTTTTTAAATTTTCCCTCTAACATTTATAAATCTAATTGCAATTCTTGGCAAACTTATGCGACTTATAATGATCGATTTAATATTTATGATGAAATCAAAAACTTTAATCATTGTATAGGCCCAAATTATTATAACGAAAATACTCAAATAAATAATTACGATGGATATTACAATGCTGAAAAGGAAAGTCTGAGTGCCGAAAATGTGTTATACAACCCAAATTCTTCTTACGATTTTATAAATTGTTACAAAGGTATATGCAATGGTCAAGAAACGATTGACCCTCTAACATCAAACAATGAAATATACAATCAAACATCATTAAAAACAGATAACTGCAAGCATTATGAAGAGGAAACAATAAAATATCAGGATGCTAAAAATGATGGAGAAAACAGCGAATACTCATCCAATATTCCAGATGAACTTTCGAAAGAACTCATTGGTGAGAACTTTGATAACCATAGACAAATTGTTAATAATAATACAAACAATTTATCAACTGCAAATGCCCATTGTAACATAAGTAGCGACATTATATCTATGTTACCAGTAACTTCGACAGATTCAAAAGCAAAATTTAAATTAACATCATCCATAAACTGCGGTAATATAGTTCAAATAAATCATACAAAGCATGTTGAACAAACTAAACTTACATCTTACATCAAGGACTATAGGGAATATAATAAGGAACATAGCGAATATATTAAAAATATAGATACCACAAATAAAATATTTATGGCGGAATCTACTTTGAGCTCGGATTCGACAAAATCTACTTCACAGAGTATGCTAAGTCATACCTCCAACAACTGCTTTGGCGCAAATGCTAAGATCAAACGTCATAGAACCCGCTTTACACCTGCGCAGTTAAATGAACTGGAAAGAAATTTTAATAAAACTCATTATCCAGATATTTTTATGAGGGAAGAAATAGCGCTTAGGGTTGGACTTACGGAATCCAGGGTTCAAGTATACTTACTCACATTTATGAAATAATTTTTTAAAACAATGTATATATTCATGTAATTAAAATAGATTTTTATTTATACGGAACACCATAATAGTCACATTCTAAAATGATACTTAAAATTGATTAAAATAATAGTAATCTACATAATGACCAATTGCTGATGTAGCATAGTGGGGTTGAAGTATATTAAATATAAGTGAAAGCCAGATTTTGGCTAGGGCTGTCGCTTTAAAGGTATAAGGTTACATTTCACAATTTTCAAATTTGTTTTTAGATATACTATATTATTTATCTATAAAACATATATATGGGGTAGGATTATCTTCAAAATAAAAAAATAGTATATATATATATATATATTTAAATATTTTTTTAGTATATGACTAGTTACCGACACCTTGAGCTGTAACAATAGCCATATATATACGATCATTTATAATTATAAATTAACCTTGTAAATTTGGTCTTAAAATATTCTATTTTTAGTCAATAATAATAATTAGCCGTTTAAATACACGATAATCAAATGATAGCGATTATTTGAATTTTAAATTTTAAGCATGATAATATTTCATTTTTATAATTGGGGTCATAGTTTTAGTTATATCGTATAGTATATAAAATATTTTAATTGTTTTTTTTCAGGGCTGTGAGCCCGAACTCTGAACCAAAACCCTTCGAATCCGGATATCTTACTGAACAAAACCATTAATCTTTTTTTTATATAAATTTTAATTAATTTATTTATTTTTTTTAATTATAAAAAATTTGAACAAAATTTAAAAATATATATTAAAAAAATAACAAGTAAAATAATTATTAATTTAAAAAAACATTAAATATTTATATTTTCAACATTTCAAACAGTTTTTATGAAAATCATTTTTCATTTTTAAAATCTTCCGACACCGGACTCTGAACCGGAACCTGGTTCAGAGTTTTCTATTAAACCCAAACCTGAACCCTTTTTTTAGCAGGAGAATTCATAGTCCTGGTTTTTTTGAGCTAGATTTATACCATAATAGATAGAAATACTATATACTCAATACCTACTTTTCTAATCATGTTGTCTTTAACCAGATACATTCAAATTTTTAAAATTATTAATCTGTGAAATTAAAGCTTAATGAACCGAGAGAATTTCTATTTCTCCCCCAAAAAATGTAGGTACATATATACCTTTGAATACTATTATGGTTCTTAGTTGCTTGGAAATTTAGATCAAGATAATTTTTTTAAATGGAATTTTTAGCAATTGTATGGTACACATTTATTAATTAAGTATAAATATGATTTTATACAAACTCGTTATATTTTAGTCTTTCTGATTGGGTTTAAAATATCCGGAAATGCTAACTTGTAAAGATGTTATAATTAATATAATATAAACTTTAACATCAGCATTTCCATTTTTTAATACATATAAGGCACTCCATTTCTAAGGCGATGATATGTTAGATCCTGTTTTTTTGAATATGGGCAAAATGAAAATCGATTAACTTGTTGTCAGTGTTGCCACTTGCCTGTTTAATTATTACAATAGAATAATAATGTCTATACCATAACTTCATTTGTCAAATAACTCATCGATGTATTTAATTCCTCATATTATCTCAAAGAGATAAATTTCTTATGTAACCTACCATAATTAAATAGATCGATATTTCGAACCCATTATAATATATAATGTTACGTAATTATACCTCAATAATAAAGTTATAATGTTTAATTTTTAGGTATGGTTTCAGAATAGAAGAGCTAAATGGAAGAAACGGAAAAAATACCAAGCTAATAAATCAATAATTAACCAAAATAACCAACCTCATAGCAATGTCAACAAAGACACGACCAATCCATCATTTTCATCTGAAAACAAAGATCAAAATTTTAACTTAAACATTTTGTCTCCCGTACAATCATTATGCGTACTATCCTCCTTAGCTATTCCTAGGGGAATCAACGAAAGTGAAAACCATGATTGTTCTAATAACCCAGTCGTTTGTCAAGTCATTCAATCTAATTCATCGGAATATTTATTGCCGAATAAGAACATCGAAACATCCTCAGATAATAACTATAGACTCCCCACCAGCAGTGCCAACTACAACACAACAAATCACCATCATAAGGGTTCAAATAATAAAAAAATAAAAAATAGTGATACATTAGCACCTTTTTCGTATACTAAAGATTATGGTAGTGGTTATGATAATCTATCCAGCAAATGTTTAAAAAATTTAATGATCAAGGAAACGAACAGAAAAATTAATAATATCAATTTTTCGAATGCAAATGATTGGTCCACAAATAACAGCCCTAATTATAACGATCAATATTCGATCAATAAATTTTCAACCATAAACAAAGTGCATATTTATAACTACAATAATATCATCATGGGTAATAATGATAACCTACCGAAAGATTATGATGAACGTGATAAAGAATCTTTGTTGTATCATAATTTCCCTTTGTATACCTCACTCACCGGGACGTTTAACGAACATTCGTTTCCCTCATTACAGGATAAAGATTCATTAATGTATTCCGACATCATTGACTCAAATGCTTTAATACCTAATAATACCAAAAAAAATAATATGGTTTCGAGCCATTCGACGGATAGATTAGGTAATTCCGATTTTTTAAATCATTTATCGACCGAAAATCATACCTTCAATCAAATTACATCTTTACCTTACAATAGCTCCAAGTATTATCCTAATAACTTTTATGGATGTTTTGACCCCACTACCCGGATTTATAACAATTGTCCGTCATTTAATTTTGATAAATACCCTAATAATAACAAGATAACAGGAGAAACGTACTCGAAAGATTATTTAAATATTTCGTGTCCAACTCATTATGGTCAAAATTACCCAAGTGGCAAAATGGACGATATGTCTAGTCAGGTGGACCCTTATTTTTATTACAATCAGTTTTCTACATACCATCCTAATTTTATCCCTAACAACTATAACAACTTTGACTCTCAATACTTTGCACCATTGCCTAAATATTACCCATTGGTTACTCCTTATACTTCGAATATATAATTATAATGTATTAAGAAAGTTACCGTGCAATTTATCCCTTTTGTTTTTATTATCTTAATATTTATTAATATTCCTTTTTTTCGGAATAAAATCTATTAAATTTTTTTTTGATGATTTGAATATATGAATTATATTATTTAAACAGATAGTTATTTATTCTGCTTTCCAAGCATCGATGTTCTTGGGTGTCGCCTTTGCAATTCAAGAAAGGGTTATGCACATCCCTTGAATATTTTTTAGATTTTAGAGCCTATAATTTATTTTTTAACCTTTTTTAGCATTTTTTTAAATGAATACCTTACATTTTTGCCATTTCAAATTATTAATTATAAAAACTTTTGATCTAAATTTGATTTTTGTTAATCGCCATTATTTTTCTTAGGGTTTATATCAGGGGTTCGAACCGAACCGAACCGCAAAACCGGAATGAACCGTTATGATTTTCTGAACCGTAACCTTAACCGAACCGTTATGAAGAAAATATTAAAAGAGCGAACCGAACCGTTATAAATATTTTGAACCGGTTTAAACCGGTTCAAAACGGTTTTAAAAATAATTAATTTTAAATTATTAACCTAAATTTAAAATTTTAATTTTCCTGAAGTATATCAAAAACTTAATTCGTTAAAATTAGATATAGCAACTAGATATGATAGGTCCATATTGGGGATCAATATTCAATTTATAAATAACGGAAAAATAAAATTAAGGACTCTATGCATGAAAGTGATTAAAGAACGACACACATCAGAATATCTTAAAAAAATTATTCTAGATGTTCTAAAAGAATATGAAATAAAAATTGAGCAGATTTACACAATAACCACCGATAATGCAGCAAATATGATTAAGTTAATTAAGCTATTAATACTACACGATGAAGAAGATGATGAAGATGATGACCTTAACGATTATTTAATTAATGATGATTTAAATAATAATGATATAGATAATGACGATTTAAATAATAATGATATAATTCATGATGAAAATAAAGAACTTTTTAATATTGAAAATATTAATCTTGCACCAAATGCCAGATCCATATTAATAGGTATTAGATGTGCTTCACATACATTTCAATTAGCAATTAATGATTGCATTAAAAATTCAAATGAAATTGTCATTATAAATAAAGCAAGAAACATCTGCAAAAAAATAAGAAATCAGACAACAATGGGTATTCTCTCAAAATTAAATTTGAAAAAACCACTAATAGATTGTTGCACAAGATGGAACTCTATCTATTTAATGTTGGAGAGATTACTAGAGTTAAAAAGCTTTTGCCAAGAAATATCGCTCCAAAGCGATCGCGAAAAATGTTTATCAGAGAATGAATGGAAAATAATTAGTGACATATTAAAAGCTTTATATCCAGCTTATGTTTTGACAAAATATTTACAAAGTGAACAATTGACAATGGGCGATTTTTATGCTGCGTGGATCAAATGTCTCATGCAAACGAGTAAAGTAGACACTCCATTTGCCAGAATTTTTCTACGATGAAAGCACGAGAAATAAATTTCAAAAATGAAGTTTTTTGCTCTGCTATTTATCTCGACCCTAGATATAATGTATTTTTAACTTTTGAAGAAAGAGAGATCGCCAGAAAACATCTTTGTAAAACTTGGAACTTGATACAAAATCTAAATAATCAGAATATTGAAATTCTAAATACTATGCCTACGTGTTCGTATTCGAAGGATAATTTAGATGATGATTTTGAAGATTTATTAAAGTCGCATGAAAGTCTTAATAAGAATAATTCTCAGGGCATCGAAAATTATAATAAATGTATAGAAATAGAATATATAATTCGTTCATTTGATAATATAGAGAGATTAGAAAAAGATACTAATCTTTTGAATTATTGGGAAAATGTAAAGAATAGTATGCCAGAACTTTATAAGTTAGCTATAACTGTGCTAGCAGTTTCAGTTACGCAGGTCTCCGTAGAAAGAGCATTTTCAAGCCTTAAGTTTATACTCTCTGCCCAGAGAACTAAATTAAATCCTGAAATATTAAAAATATTTTAGTTATCCGTTCGAATTCTCTTTTTAAACCTAAATAGTTTAGTATACATATTATTTTATTCATTATTGTATTTACGCATGTTTGTTTTTATCTTATTTATTTATAAAATAAAAAAAAACTAATTTGTCTAATTTATATTTCCTAAATTTAATAAAAATATCTATTAGATTATCATGGATAAATTAAATAAGAAATTATAAACTAAAAAGATTTTTCTCTAAAATTAATATATACATGGTTAATGATTAATTTTTTTAAAAATTAAATTTATAAAAACCGGAACAAACCGAAAAGAACCGTTATAAATTATAAACCGAACCGAACCGATATGATTTTTTTTAAAAAACCGAAATGGAACAAAACCTTTATAAAATTTTAAACTAAAAACCGGAACGAACCGAACCGTTATACTAAACGGTTCGAAACCCTGGTTTATATTACATACATAAAATTTATCTTTTTTAAATGGCTTAATAGTTGAGAGGTAATCATCTTACTTGCAATGCAACAATTATAAAGATGGCCAATAACAAATACAGAACAATTTTTATGTTTCAAACTAATTTTTATCAAAGGCAGACACCCCCCCCCACCCCTAGTTAAATCAAACCGAGAATTTAGGTCTTTTTAAGCACATAGATATCTGTTAGGTTTCATAAGATGGGGTGGGGGGGGGTGCACGTTTAATATAATTGGTTTCTGCAAAAAAATTACCTAATCAACAAAAAGAAATTATGCCCTGTTGGGGTTCATGTTTCGCTAAAAAAATTATTTTGTTATTTTGGAACGTTCTGGAACGTGTTTCTAAAAAATTATGATTTTGTTTCTATTTTATTAATCAACAAATTAATTTTTATCAATACATATAAATCAGTTAACTTCTAAGCATTTATATGCTCTCTATCTAATAAAAGTTATATCTACGTTGTGTTAATTCAAATTTTTGCCAAAAACTGTATCATCTAATTTAGAGAACCTTTATTAGCAAAACCTTTATCGCGAATGTTGTTTATTGCGAAGAAACTTTGGGAAAGGAAATATCATAAAAATTCTGCAAAATATTTACAGCGAACAATATCGTAAACTCCCTATCGCGCCTATATTTTCGCGAAATCTAAACCACGGACATATTGCATTTTAGCAAAACCTTTATTGAGACTGCATTAAGCGAATTTTTGAGCGCGAACTCTTAATAGGTAATGTTTTGCCATGAATATATTCCCATAAAGTCATTATCGTGAGAGCATTACCAAGAAACAATGAATATTGCTAATGCATTTATAAAGGAAACAACATATTTAATAATAATTTATCCAAATATGTTCTTACATCATTTGCGCAAAATGTTTTACGAATATTTTGTTACTTATTGGCTACTGAGTTAATAAGAGTTGGCTTCAATGGGACTTTTTCTGATATGATGAAAAATAGCTTAGCAATTTTTCCTAATCTCTTTAACTCATGGTAGTAATTATGGAGAGGATATTTCGCGCCAATTTTTGTGTTAATAAATTTATTCCCCTCTCCCCTGTATATAAATTTTAAAAATGCACTTTATACAATTAAAAGTAAAATCTTTGTAAATATATCTAAAATATCCAGAATCTTTCCTTACTTACTCAGGATTAAAAATACTGGAAACTAAGAATTTTTCCTAATTATCTGAGATTTGTTTTAAAAAATCGTAAACAATTTATAAGTAAAAATTTTAATTTTTTCAGAATTTTTTATATTGAATTTTCCTAGTTAATTTTTAAAATTATTGTGTAAATAAGAAAAGTAAATTTAATTTGTTTAAAATCTGTTATTTCTCTAGAAAATTATTCCTTTATCCGAGCCCCGGGAATTTAAACGGGTTGCAAATGACTTTATATTTAATAAATTTAAATTATTAAAATATTATAAACCTGAAATGTATTTTATATATAACATCTAATACGCATAGGCGTCTACTTCATATAAATGGCGGGGCTCTGGCCTCCATTAAAAATTTTTGTTGGGGCTGTGCCTCCATAAAAAATAGATTAATCAATCAAAGATATATTACTTAAATATTCTTTAGATATCAAAAATTGCAGAAGTTAATGTTATGATGTAGCCTCCATCGTTAGTGTAAAGATTTCTAGTTTACAAACATGTTCATAATGAAGAATCTAGAACAATTTATATACATTGTGAAGGTCATACACTGAAACTTGTTTTACAAGATTCTATTAACATTAATGCAAAAATTTGCGATTTTGTAGTATTAACGAAAGATTTATTATCTTTTGTTCGTAATTCTCCCAAACGCAAGAAAATATTTCGTTCCATCCAAGATGAAAATGATAGTTCAGCCTCTTTAAAGCCATTATGCCCTACATCCTGGTGAATGCGAATAATGTCCTTAAAATGAATAGATAGCAATTATGAAATAATCGAAAACCTTTATTACAAATAATAAATACATTTCGCAGTGAGGTTGATAAAGAGAAAAAGTTTATTGCACCAAATACAAATTTGAAAACTTTTTATTTCTTAATGATGATAATAATATTTGAGAGAGAATAGTCTTAAATGCTAAAATTAAAAGTTCTTCATTACATATTCAAAATATTAAATATAAAATAAAAAATAAAAATCTCATCAAAGTTTTAGATGTAAAACTACAAGAAGATAGTTTAGATAAGTTTTTGAGAGAAGTTAATTTAAGGGCAAGGAAATTAAATTTAGTGGAGCACATTTTAAAGTGACAGGAAAAAAAACTCTTTAAGATTCGAATGAGTTTTTTATATCGTCCTTTCCTTCCATGTCAGTTACAGAATATTATAGGCCACTTTTTTATGAATACAATTGCAAATATAAAAAATTTTCAGCAAACCATAGATTTTTTAATTAATATGGAAAAATTTGCTATTCAAAAATTTGATGGAATGTTTCAATATCTATGGAGATGATTTTGAAATGGAAAGTCAAATACTTCATAGAGATTATATAATAAACTCTTTAGATGACGTCACAACCATATTAAAAGAACAAAATAAGAAAAAAATTATTTCTATTTTTTCAGAGTATGTAAAGTTTATTAAAATGCTATTAACTGTTCCCGTAAGTACTACTTTAAAACAATCATTTTCAGGATTAACATGTCTTAAATCATATTTACGTTCTGCGATGAAACAGTAATGACTTTGAAATTTTAAATGTTAATAAAGAAAAAGCAAAAGAACCTGATTGAAATGTGATAATAATGAATATTTTTTAAATAAAAATATTAACATTTATTATATTATATCCTTCATTAAAAAAAATATATCAATTATTATCTGTAATTTATATTATAAAAACTTGAAAGGAAATAAAAAATGATACTTTACAAAATTAAAATTACAAGCTTTTTTATGATATTTTTTTTTACAATTAATTAAAATTTGATTAGGTTTTTTTCAAGTTCTATTTAAAATAGATTTCAGCCTTCATAGACATTTTTTTTCTATTTTAAAACAATTTTCATGGAATTCATGCACATACTTTTACATGTCTTCCATTATTACTTTTTACATAATTCCCAACTTTCTAATATAATAGTGCTCTAATTCATTTGAAGTTTTGACCACCCCATTCTGGCTTCTTTCTGTATTTAAATAAATAAAAATAAAGTTCTGGTCAATAAAATTTCAAGTAATTGCCTAATACTAAGATTATTATTATACAACCTTTATCTTCATCTCTAATATCCTCCTTACTTTAATTCTAATCTCTTGATGGCTCAATGAAAATTTGTTTAATAGTCTTTATTCCCCAATAGTGATTAAATAAATATATTATATAAATAATTATAAGATTTATACTTTATAATTGTAAAATAATATAAGATATTATTGATTCGATACTTGTTTGAGTTCCCTGTGTTTTAATATTTGGAACAAGAACACAAATAAATTTTTAGACAAAACATAAGCGTAACCAAGATCTTGGTAAGGGAAGATGGGGGGGGGGCACTATTATGTGGGTTTTCCACATGAATTTTATTGGAGATCTGCCCACTTATTGTAAGCCTTTCGCTATATTAGATTTTTATAAAAATACTTTGTTTCACTTTTTTTTATAAAAATTCTTTTTTCTAAAAACTTTGAATTATAGTCGTTATCGTGATATATTATATCATTTTTGAGGATATGGGGGGGGGGGGGGGGGGGGGGACTTAAAATGATATTTAAAAAATAAATCGTTTTTTATTGAAAAACACATTTGTAACTAGTGTCAATCCTTTTTGTTTAAAAATTGAATTAATATTAATACAAATCAGAAATTTTTATTGAAAATAAATATATAAATAAAATACAAATTAATAAATATGTCAAAGAAAGGTCCGTCAACAAGGAAAAAGAATATTCAATTAAAATATTAGAGAGAAAATATTCTAAATCAAAATAAAATGAAGATATTCATATATTAGAGCACCAGACAAATACAGATTAAGTGTTTATTTATCCTTACATTATTTCTACATTTATTTTACTAGGGGAATTTAAACATTAGAGAGGCAAGCTATTTTTTTCAGTATAATCTATTTAAACATCTTTCAATCTATTTAAAAAATATATATTATTTAACTAATATAGTCGGAGAAATAAACGTTTCAAAATAAAATAGACACCATTAGTAAATATGGAGGTATTGCTTTAGCGTTGTTTTGGCAATATTGACTTCGCGATGACTTGGTTACAAAATTTTCGCAAAGGTTATTTACTTTGGAAATTAGATTAATAATATTTTGTTCTAAAAATAATTGAATGTCCTATAAATGTTCTTATTTGTGACCTGACAAAGAAAATTTTATATTTAATCATAAGGGTGAAAAGACTAAGAATATGGTAGAAAAAATTTGAAGTTGAGAATTTGACATTTTTTTAGATTTTGGGATTGTCGAAATTTTGAAATACACTACTTTATTTATTTTGATGATGTGACCTGATTGTGGTATTATCCAAAATATACGTCAAGTTCGATATTACACATATCTGTTATATTTTATATAATACTGTTTATTGCTAAGTAAAATAAAAATGGACAGAGTGAATGCGCTGATAAAATTCTTTGCTTGGCGTATCGTAATATCATTGGGGTACAATGGCTTGACTGGATATATATAAAATAATCTAGATATAGTTCTAAGGGTCTTGCAATAGAATAATTGCGATTTATTGTATTGAATGTTTCTTATGTCAAATTTAAAAAATGATGATTTTAAGGTAGATTATCCAGAGTAATTCCTGTGTAGCTGCCTATTCCATTCTCTTCATGCCAAACCCTAATTAGTTTAGTGAAATAAATTCACTAATTTTGATAAGATGTCTTTTATGTTAATAGAGATTTAGACAATCCTTCTAATAACATTACCTATAACAGAGGGGGTGGGGGCTTAATTCGGCTTTTGTAAAGCAAATAATCTGACTCCTTAAAATAGTTAAATTGATGGAAGAGGTAGCTCCTTTTAATGATTAGATTCAAAGATCGGTCAATGCTTATAATAGAATGAGAGAGTAAGAATGGTCTCATAAGATTAGATAAAAGACTACTGATAACATCTCTTCCTCCGGCGGAGTGCATTAAAAATGAATTGCTTCAGACACTTCGTCCATGGCTAATTTAATATAAGATGACTTTAATAACAAAAGGGAGTTGTTATTAATAATAGTTGGTTGTATAGGTATAGCTAGAAATTTACTAAGGGGGAACATTGTTAGGTGGGTTTTTACCCATACATTTTATTGAAGGTTTTCGGGTCCACTTATTGTTGGCCTCTGACTATATTATATTTTATAAAAATAATTTTGAGTTTTCATTCTTTTTTATAAAAATAATTTTATGTAAGAGAACCAGCAAATTTCTGAAAAAGGGATTTCCCTTTACCCCTTCCCCGCTCCCTTCCCCTATGGCTGCTTGTTTAGAAGGCATTTTGGCCTATATCTGGTGAAGGCATAGAAATCGAATATTCGATCTTTGTAAATAATTCTAATCGTAACAAATTCGACGTTTTATTATTTTTTGAATAAAACAAATTATTCGGATCAAAATTATTTATTGTTTATTGTACAAATTATTTCAATATTTATTGTATTCCAATCGAATAATTAGTATAATTTGATAGAATATTCTAATTGTTCGGAATAATTATTATTATGTTCTTTAATAGAGAATAGATTTATTATCTCTATTTATTCATTAAAGTTAAAGGTCATATAGGTACTTTTTAATTGTCATTGAAAGCAGGGTTGTACCCACGTATCTGATGATATAAGTGATAATAGACTGGGATATATAAATATTTGATAGAATATTTAATATTGAGCGTCACATTTTTGCTATGCGTTGTTTCTAAAAAAATTTATGGGGGGATTCGCCCCCCTCCATATCCCTCAATTTGCGGGCCTTCGGCCCGCTTTTGTCCGGACTTCGGCCGAGTTTTATATTAATATATTATACTTTTTAAAATTTACTAACTCTAAATAATTATTCTGAATGTCATTTATTATATTTTGCATGCAAAATAAACTAGCATATAAATCATTAAAATAATACAAGACATTTCTAAAAATAATTTTTTTTAATTCAAAATCTATTTATTACAGTCAGGGTTTCGAACCGTTTAGTATAACGGTTCGGTTCGTTCCGGTTTTTAGTTTAAAATTTTATAAAGGTTTTGTTCCATTTCGGTTTTTTAAAAAAAAATCATATCGGTTCGGTTTATAATTTATAACGGTTCTTTTCGGTTTGTTCCGGTTTTTATAAATTTAATTTTAAAAAAAATTAATCATTAACCATGTATATATTAATTTTAGAGAAAAATCTTTTTAGTTTATAATTTCTTATTTAATTTATCCATGATAATCTAATAGATATTTTTATTAAATTTAGGAAATATAAATTAGACAAATTAGTTTTTTTTTATTTTATAAATAAATAAGATAAAAACAAACATGCGTAAATACAATAATGAATAAAATAATATGTATACTAAACTATTTAGGTTTAAAAAGAGAATTCGAACGGATAACTAAAATATTTTTAATATTTCAGGATTTAATTTAGTTCTCTGGGCAGAGAGTATAAACTTAAGGCTTGAAAATGCTCTTTCTACGGAGACCTGCGTAACTGAAACTGCTAGCACAGTTATAGCTAACTTATAAAGTTCTGGCATACTATTCTTTACATTTTCCCAATAATTCAAAAGATTAGTATCTTTTTCTAATCTCTCTATATTATCAAATGAACGAATTATATATTCTATTTCTATACATTTATTATAATTTTCGATGCCCTGAGAATTATTCTTATTAAGACTTTCATGCGACTTTAATAAATCTTCAAAATCATCATCTAAATTAT